ACTAGTAAACCTGCAGATTAAGAGTGAAGTGCTCTTAGGGATGTTTTCCCTAACATGTTTTTCCCACTAGTGCTTAATTTAAAGCAAATAACAGGAAACAGGGTTGAGAAAGAAGGTGAAAGACACACGACAAAAGGCAGTAGTGGGCTGGGACTCAAACCTGTGACAGCTGCCTTGAAGAATGAGGCCTCCATTTCTGGGTCACACGCTTTACAACCACTCCACTTCAAAACTAACACAGTTTAACACCAGGTTCAACTTAATTCACAGAGTCCATAGTAAGGTCATCACACATAAAACCTAAAAAAAAAACCCTCTCTTATATCCCCAAAAAGCACCAAAACCTCACAATTGTGAGGCTTCACAACATTACAAACTACACAGAAAAATGACATGTCCACAGTGGTGTTACATCTTTGCTGCGTTAAACATGTCAAACAGGCAAAGGGTCAAACAAAAGTCTTTATCTAATGTTTTCTTCCTCAGAGAACAGCAGCTGGTGCCAGAATGAAGCCACCATCAGACTGATTATCTCTGCTGCAGTTGCATTGGTTTTGTTTCTTCTTCTGGTGGACCATATCAGACTCTGAGGAGGAGGCAGGAGCTGCATCATCCCAATACTTACTGGTTCTCAAGCTTTTCTACCATCTGGAGAAGAGATGACAGAGAGCTTTCAGTATTTATCTGGAGACCAGGAATCTGAAAACTGTCCCCAGGACGGGATCAAACTTATTGAGGTCCTCTCTTTTCTCTCTCTCTTATACTATTTCTGATCACGTTGTTTGGTTTCAATTGTATATCTGCTATTGCAACTACTATTTTTAAGCCCAATTGCAAATAATGTTTATTGAAAAGTTATGCAAACAGCAACAGTTTAAACAGGATAAACCAAACAAAAACATTCGATTACACCAAATATCACAAGTGGGTTTTCAAATTTCTTCAAAGAACTTCTAGTAGAGTGCCTCTGTGTTGTTATGACCTTCTGCAAAGATGACATTAAAGCTAGGCTTAAAACGTTCCTTTTTGATAAGGCTTATAGTTAGAGTGGCTCAGGTTATCCTGAGCCATCTCTATAGTTATGCTGCTATAGGCTTAGACTGCTGGAGGACATAGGGAGAGTTCATTATGGTGTAAGTGACCGCACACTTGTTTGGCAACTACTTTCTCAAGAACTTTAGATAAGAAAGGAAGATTAGATATAGGTCTATAATTGACTAAGTCATCTAGATAAAGGTAAGCTGTCTTAAGTAAAGGTTTAATTACAGCCACAATGATAATCTAGCAGGAAAAATGTGTCTCTTTCAGTGATAGTTATTATGCAAAAAGTAGCCAAAAGCAACTGATGTCATTTCCTTCACTATCTAATACTTATTTTATTTATGTAACAGGTGCCATAATTATGCTTAAAAATAGAAAAGAACAAAAAGAACAACTTTGTTTTCCACTAACTTGAAATGATGCTGGCTACAGATACTGTAGAAACAAAAGTAGTGTTTTCCACCAACTCAGTATTTATGTCTTCCAGAACATTGCTTATTATGATCAATACATATAAAGGTGAGTAAAGCTTGAGTATGTTGTAGATTCATGTTCACCTTTTGTCCAACGACGGCTGCTTTCCGCTGTATGTCTTCACAGAAACCTTCATCTTCTGTTTCTATTCTTGGAACTGCAGCATCCTGTGTGGTCAAGCAGCAGCTTTTCAAAACATCTCTGTAATTTTCCATTGATGGAAGTTTTTAAGCCTAAACTACCCAGCCAGGATGCTTTATGTGCACCGTTTGTAGTTTTCTGCATTTCATCGTTTATGTCACAAATAAAGTCATAAACCAGGGCAGTATCCACCACTGAGGACACCCTGGTCATGTTAGCAGTATTTTATTTTATTTATATTTTGCCTAAATTGTGATATAGAAAAAATTAAAATAAATTTGACTAAAAAAGAACGTAGAACGATGATCTAGATCTTCCACAAAACTGTGAGATGATTTATATTTGAAGAGCAAAGATTAGTGCCACTATCTCATAAAAAAAAGCTTGAGGGTTTGTGCATGCATGCTATGCATCATCAACACGCACTGTCACTGTGGTCAGGGGCAGCTTTAGGAAATTTGGGGCCTTAGGTAAAGACAGGCGGGGGGCCGTTGAATTGAGAAAACAAACCCATTGTACAGATAGAGAAATGTTAATAGAATATACAAACATTATTATTATTATTTGTTCTACATTTTGTCCCTCTCATCCCTTTTGTTTTCCTATATATGCTTTCTTTGGTCCCTTTTTCTTTTTATATTGGCAATGTGCTCAGCTAACTTTTCATGCCGTTTCAAAACGAACCAAAGATTTTTTCCAATCACTAAGCCCATTCTAACTTAGCTGATTGCTCCTTCCTGTTTCCAAAAAGGCCAAAGTAAATAACCCAGTCCTTCTTTTCACTGTAGACAAGCCATGATCTGCTTCTCTGTTCTCCATTTTTCATTTGGATGAAATAATAGCTGCATGAATCATGACAGCAGACAAGATAGAGGAGAGCAGGAGGCGGGGTTACCAATCTACTCGCTCTGGAGAGCAGAGTTCGCTGCTTTTAGATGTTGTCTCCAAAGTCTCCAGTAGCAGAAAAAAGTCTCTAGATTTGGCGCTAGGAGCTTTTTAGAAATCAAAGTGCTAGAGGGATCTGAAAAGTGGCTAAATATAGCGACTAAAGTGCTAAGTTGGCAACACTGCTCTTTGCATGGTTTGTTTTCTAATGGTTTGCTGCTGTCTGTTTGGACCTTTCTGAACATGTGCAGCAAATGGACTGATCCAATATGGTGGACACTGAAGGGGGGGGCTGAGACACACTTAATATTATGGACTGTCACAGAACTGACAATGGAACTGCCATGCAGGCTACAGATGCCGTTTATTAGTCCGACAGTTACTGGAAGAGGAGCCCATTAAGCTGCTAAAGCAGTCGGAGAACAGTTTAAGTTGTTGATGAATGTGATAAAAAAAAACACCCTGTATTTCCATGAGGAAATATTTCAGCCAATTGAATTACTCAGACAACAAAGGAACATCGTACCAAAGATTTTTAACTCTATATTTACTGGTTGTTTATCAATTAACAGCAGGTGAATCAACATTCATTTTGCAACCGATATGTTAACGATGTCTATGACTGAAAATAAAACGTTTCTGTAGCTCAATGCATCAAGATGGCACACAACAGATCGCACGGGACAAGAAGTCGTGCGCGGAAACAAATAAAACATCCAGTTAATTTTCAAAATAACAATAATAATTTTATGTGTTAACTTGCCCTAACTTCAAGTTTCACCATAATGGTCCTTGACAAAGCCTAAGAATGCCCCATTTTTTATTCACTCTTGTAATATTGTAGACTCCTATATTTATGTATTTAATATAATTGCTTAAATGTGCATATTTGATCTTATTTCAACTTATTTTGTAGCATTTTTTAACTATTTCATACTTTGACATTGGGTTGCTCTGGGATGTGTAAAACTAATTTCATTTCATGTTAAAATGACTAATAAAAATAAAAATATGATGTTGAAATGGCATATTGTTTGCATTTCTATCTTTTAGTATTTGACTGCACTGGAAAAAACATCTAGAAATAAGTAAAAATATCTTAAATTAAGTGTATTTACCCTTAATTTGAGCAGAAAAATTAGGTTGTTTGCCAATGGAATGAGTGTTTTTTACTCTTAAAATAAGATAATTAGATAATATGCACTTGAAATAAGACAATGCAATTGCTTTTTTCTTATTTTAAATGTAAATTGTGTTGTTCCATTGGCAGAATGTCTCTTTTACTTCCTCAATCCAAGAATAAATGCACTTACTTTAAGAAAAAATTACTTATCTAGATTTAGATTGTTTCATGTGTGTGTTGAAATTCTTCACTATAGGAAAAACAGGATAGGAAGGAAAATGCCAAGCAGCAAGAGGAGCAGTGAGGAGAAGGAGAGCAGGTACTAGAAAAGGAAGATAACGCTGATATGTGTTTAAAAATCCAATATTAAATGCATGTTACTTGAAGTATTGTGTAATATAATGATAGGATTATGTTCAAAAGCTGAATTTCCATAGAAAGAGTGAACAGATTAGGCATTATTATCACTATGATAATGTAATAGAGTCTGGGTGTCTATTTTAAATACTCAAGTAAATATGAAGCAACTCATTTCAATTGTACTGGAATATCTTTAGTGAAACATTTCTAACCAGTTGTAGACAGAAACTTCAAAAGAAAGATGACATAAAAATGAAGTTTCTAAGTTTCAAATGGCTGAAATGTCTTGCAGCGAAAGAGGAACAGAGTAATGCACCGACTTGCCTATTCCAAAGGCAGAATGATGTTGCTTTTGCTCCCTAAGACTCTGAAAACTGCAAGATTTAATTAATTGAATCAAAAACATTTTCTGGGGTGTACGCCACTGAACACACCTAGAAGTAGGTTAGGGTTGACCTCAGTATTTTCTGGGCCCTGCGTACGGCCCTGTCATAAATAGAGATGAAAAACATGATGTGTGTCCTGGGTTTGTTGGCTTCTGAAACCTCCCTGAGGAACAAAAAGCAGTTTCACTTTTCAACATCTACTGGTTAACCTTGACAGTGGTGAGTTAGACTCTGCTGTTTATTCTAACCTCTACCAAAACAGGAAACCACCGTGGTGAGATCAGATATGCTCATTTTTCCATTTCTGCTTTACTAAATGTTTAAAACTTTGTCAGAATGGATGTATTTTCAGGTGATGCTGATGATTCTTAATTAGATTTAGTTATGAATTTAGGGCTATGCTAATCCATAAATATGAATAAATAAATAAAATTAGGAGTACCTGACCTAAAACCTGCAATGAGGAAATGTAAAATACTGCATCGAATGCACCTCAATGTACAAAAAGGAAGCACCAGGAATATATCATACGATCGGTGTCAAAGTAAAACACGAGTCACTTTGTGGCATGAAAATATAGTTATTATTTATGATTTTGCAGCTTTGATCTGCATTTCTGGATTCAATTTAGTGTGAAATGCTTTGGCCTATCGGTGCTCCTTCCCTCCATATCAGACTAGCTGCATGCTGTAGGCTTATTGACAACAGTGTCAGTAACAAAGACCAAATACTTCATTACCTTCAGTAGAAATTTTGGCTATCTATACTTTACTGGAGTAATTATTTTTCAGACAACTTTTTACTTCTACTCCTCTGATCTTTTTTTACAATGATCTCTACTTTCTACTCCTATTTAAAAATAGACTCGGTAGTTTTGTTCCCTTTAAGGTCACTTTCATTATGGCCTGGTGGTATTTATAGAAAATAAAAACCATCAAAATAATTATTTCCATCCAGAAAATGTCTTTGTGGTTTGACTCGGTGCTGCCCTAACTTGTTGTTTGCCTCATACCGGAATAAATAGTTTTTCAAGATGATGCAAAGTTAAATGTGACACTGTTACCATTAGTTATAAAATTAAGAAAATGAAGTCTGAGGAAGTTATCATCCAGAATTGTAGAAAAATGTTCCTTTAAGTGGGTAGTCCAGTAAAGCTTCTGACCTTAACAATTTTTCCTGCATTACTTTAACTTTTATACTTTAGATTAAAATGATACTTTTACACTTTTACTGGAGTAAAAATCAAAATCTTGATAAGTAATTTTTTCTTAAAATAAGTGCCTTTGTTCTTGAATTGAGGAGATAAAAGAGACATCTTGCCAATGGAACAAGACAATTTAGATTTAAATTAAGAAAAAAACAATTGCATTGTCTTATTTCAAGTGAATATGATCTAATTATCTTATTTTAAGAGTAAAAATACTGATTCCATTGGCAAACTATCTCATTTACCTACTCAAATCAAGGGTAAATACACTTAATTTAAGAAATTTGTACTTATTTCTAGATCGTTTTTCCAGTGATGCTCTAACTTCTTCAAAAGTGTTTTGAAACAGTAGGAAACTTTTACTGGAGTAATAAACATTAATAACGAGTGGTTGAACTGTAAAGTGCCTTAATATGTGTTGTGAATTGGTGCTATATAAATAAACTGAATTGAATTGAATTGAATTAAGACTTTTGACACCTATGTTTACTGATCTCTGAGCCTACACCCACTCCAACATACGTTTCTGAACTTTGAAAGCCATCTTTTTTTTTTTTATTTGGAAAGACACCTATGTGTTTTTCTGCTAATCTGCTCTCATGCTTCATTTTTATGTGCAGCAGCTTTAAACCCCCCCTTGTATGTCCCTCCTTGTGAAAATTAGCCCCAAAGCATGATGCTGCCACTGCTGTGTAGGATCGTGTTTAGTGATGCATAGCGTTAATGTTTGGTGGTAATTTAAGGCTTATCTAATGTTTTTCCGAACATCTTTCAGCCAGATGATCTTGTTTTTACACAACCTGAATCCCACAAAGGATGTTTCAGATGCTGCTGTTTTACAAGAGAGTGTTTGAGTCAGGAAATCAAATAATGGCTGCAGGGTGAAAAAAAAAACTATGGAGAGAGCCTGCATACTGGAACCAAGTATATAACATGGGGAGATGCAATATTGCAAAATGCAGAAATATAAAATCAAATGAATATATTCCAAAGTGAAACATAAATACATTTGATCTGAATAAGGCCTGTGTCCTCAGGTTGCAGGATTACTGTTATGGAACCAAAACCAAAGGAAAAAAGACCAAAAACCAAAACCATTAGAATATAGTTTATTAAAGTAGAAATTATTTTCACATGATGTCTGTTCTCCTTTCTTTGATTAAAGAAAGTGAGTACTTTCATTTTTTTTCTGAGGCCCATGAAAACTTTGTTGATTTCTTCCCTGATTTCAGCATCATCTGTCTAACAGGCTAAATCTGTTCTGGTGATGGCAGTGAGGACCGGCTCTAACACTGGTTTCCTTGGTTTTCTGGTCCACAACAGGGCTAGACCAGCCTCACGAAAGTTCTGATGGTAACAGTAGATGAACGGGTTCAGACAGCAGTCCAGGTACGACATCACTGAGGACAGGGTCCGCAACCAATCAGGGGCAGGAGCCAGGTTCTTCCGACCCAGTAGGATCAGCTGATTGGTGAATGGAGCAGAACAAAAAGACAAGGTCAGGACAAAAAATATAAAGAGTACATCTATTGTCAGGGTTAAGTGTTTTTGAAGACCCAAAAGTAGAGGTGAGCCTTGTAAATTGAATAAACATCCAGAGGAAAACAGGGGCAAAAATCCCAAAAAACAAAATACTGATAAACCAGCAGGTTGGGAGCAGGTGTAGACAGAGGAGGCTAGAATGGAGCTAGAGAAGAAGACTGACACAAGAGATCAGCAGAGGGCAAACAATACCAAAGAGCTCAAATACAATCAAAAATAAGCAGAATAACACAAAATAGAGATGAAATCAATAAACTGAAAAACACAGAAAGACATGAATGAAAGTAATGAAAACTCAAAAAAGAAAACAAAAACAGAACCAAAAATGCTGAGTCATCCATCTATAGTTTGAAAAATATGCTGCTCCAGTAAATGGAAACAGCAGCAGGTTCTAATCCCTGTGTTTTATTACTTTTTTTTTAGTTTAGAAAGTTTGTACTAGAAGTTACTGGAAGTTAGAATATGTGTACCTCAGACATAAAAAAGGGAGTGTAGCAGACGACGTAAGAAGCCACTAAGAGAGGCGCCACCTCAGACAGATCTGATTCTTCATCACTGGGACTGAAGAGAAACACAGTAAAGATGTCTGAATTATTACCTCATTATTACCTCAAACTTAATGAAACTATTACTGTGTAAAACTTATCATTTTACTTTAATGATACATCAGGATTATTTAGTCATAAATTGTAATCAAAATCATAACGACATAACAAGCTCCACTGTTCCTGCTGCAAGATGATGTGTTGCATCCTGCTGAAGATGCAGTGATAAATTTTGTAATGATTTTTTTTCTTTTCCTCACTCACTATATCCTTTTCTATGTTTTCCTAAATGCACTGGAAAAAATCTAAATCTAAAAAAGTCATTATTTTCTAAACATAAGTCCATTTGTTCTTGAATTGAGAATGTAAAAAACATTTTGCCAATGGAACAAGACAATTTACATTTTAAATAAGTAAACACAATGGCATTGTCTTATTTTAAGTGCATTTTATCTTAAGATCCTATTTTAAGAGTAAAAAATAAGTCATCTAATTTACGTTAGTAAATTTGATGATTTACTTACGTAAATTAGATGATTTGCCATGTAAATAAGTAAATAAGTAAACATTTCTTAAATTAAATGAATTACCCTTAATCTGAGTAGGTAAATAGTTTGCCAATGGAATGAATATTTTTACACTTAAAATAGGATATCTAGATAATATGCACTTGAAATAAGACAATGCAATTGTGTAAATTATTTATTTTAATTTAAATTGTCTTTTTTTCCGTTGGCAAAATGGTTCTTTTACCTCTTCAATCCAAGAACAAATACACTTATTTTAAGAAAGAATGACTCATCTAGAGTTAGATTTTTTTCCAATGCAACATGTTTCTCATCTATTGCTTCCTAATGAACAGTCACATCAGCAGACAGCATTCAAATGGGTCACCTTCACTGACTCTATCAGTCAAACACGTGAAGACTGGAGACGCTGACAGAGTAGTTAAAGACTGTGAACTAGAAGGAAACCTTGTCACTAGGGTCACCTGGTGTACCTGTTGCTGGAGCTGCAGCTCACAGCATTCCTTAGAGAGCAGATAAGCATGAGGAGGAAAGGCAGAAAGATGCAGATGGAGAAAGCACAGAGGATATAGGTCATCATGTCTGAGTAGCTGCTCTCCCAGAACACAGCACACAGCATCTCTGCAGGATCATACCTGAAAGCCCAGAAAGAGGATTTATTAAAAACCAGTAAAGGAAGCTAGAGGTAGCATTCCTGAGCTAACAAACCTGACCCAGTCGTAGATGACTGGGATGCTCCCAAACACCACCCCTGTCATCCAGGAAGTCAAGCAGGCTGTTGCCATGGCACCAAAAACAGCCGTTCTGGTGGACGGCAGGCCAATCAGACGCTGTACGCTGAGAATTGCTGTAAAATAGATTTTTATTTGGTTTAATCTGAACAAACCCACAGATTTAATGCTTTGAAGATCTTAATCACAAGATTCTCAGAGTCAGAAACTGTTAGCTTCGCAGTGATTTGGCAGGTGAGAGAGGCCATGAGCACTGCAAAAATCATCTAGAAATAAGTAAAAATTTCTTGAATCAAGTGTAAACTTGATCATTTAATCATCCCATTTACATACTAAAATTAAGGGTAAATACACTTGATTCAAGAAATTTTTACCCTTAATTTTAGTATGTAAATGGGATGATTTGCCAATGGAATTAATATTTTTGCTCATAAATAAGATAATTAAATAATATGCACTTGTAAAAAGACAATGCAATATTTTTCTTTCTTATTTCAAATGTAAATTGTCTGGTTCCATTGGCAAAGTGTCTCACTCATCTCCTCAATTCAAGAACAAATGCACTTATCTTAAGAAAAAATTAACTATTTAGATTTAAATTTTTTGCAGTGAGTGAGGAGGGGACAGAAACTTTATCTTTGTTAGGAAATGAAGATTAAGCATAAATTCAATCTGGAAGACTCTTATCAGCTTCAGCTGAATCCCCTGAGATGTCCCTCAGCCGCAGCCAATGAACTCTGGAGCCACACTTTCTCCGAAGCAAATCATCTTGAAGGATCACCTTCAATGATCTCCTGGCCCTGCTTCTCTCTCCTGCACTCAAGTCAACTTTCACCCACCTCTACCTCATCTCCTCTCTCATTCTTAGTCCTGCTCTCCTTCTGGTTATTATTATTCCACCACCAGTGTCTGGGAAAGACTACTATAATCCTTTTCTAGGTTAATAATCCAAGCGTATGTACATTCACAGCATCAAAGTCTTCTGGCGGGGCCGGAGCACCACAGAACTTATTTAGTTTATGTCTCTATTTTTGCTTCTGTCTCCTTGAACCCCAGCTAACCTCAGCCGCTCACACTGAGCCTGGTTCTGCTGGAGGTTTCTTCCTGTTCAAAGGGAGTTTTCCTCTCCAATGTCGCTACAAGCATGCTTAGTGTGAGGGATTGCTGAAGAGTCAATGCAATCATCTGGCTTTCTTTTTTTATGATTGGACTCGGTAGCACGCAAGAGCGGGGACAGAGACAGCTACAAAGAGGTGAAATACAGGTTTAGCAGGGAGATGAGGAAGGCTAAATCTGTGTATGCAAATCGCCTCCAGCAGCAGTTCTCTGCCAACGACTCTGCCACAGTGTGGAGGGGCCTCAGGGCTATTGCCAACTACAAGCCCAAAGCCCCCCGAGCTCTGAATGACCGGGCACTGTGTGAAAGACT